AAAAAAAAGTAATTTAAAATATAAATGAAACCTATAGTAAGACTGCAGGGCTTTTCTGAGAATCTGAGAAGTGATTCCGATATTTCTTGTAAGTCAGTGCATTGTCCTTCTCCAGAGGAAGTGAGCGTCTTGCCCTCGTCTCAAGACGTCAGCACTGAGGCCACCATGTCCTCCGAAGACCTTCCTCTGATTTTCGAGCCGTTGGAGGCCGGAGCATCATCCGAACCGTCTGTCACCATGACACCAACGGCCGTAACCGCGGGAGACGCAGAGCTGGAGCGGATGGTGTCCATGGATACGGATCGCACTTCCTCTGATGTCCGTCTCTCAGGAACGCTGGAGACGTCTGGAGCGAGAGAGCCAATCACAGAGTCCCATCCGGCAGAGGAGCATTATGGGACGACACAACGTGAGAATATATAACAGCAGTGATGATGCAGCTTCGCTCTGGTTCTCTCCACTATTTTGATGCTTTGGATTATTGCAGAAAAGGAGCTCTGTGACCCACAAAAGTGTATGGTTCTTTACAAATTATAGGAATAGTTCCATAAATATGAAAATGTGCACACCCTTAGGCCATCTAAAATGTAGATCAGGTTTGGAGAAATGTAGCATTGCATCAGTGTCTCACTGCAAGTGAATGGGTGCCGTCAGAATGAGAGTCCAAACAGCTGATAAAAACATCACAATAATCCACAGCACTCCAGTCCATCAATTAACATCTGGAGAAGACAAAAACTGAAACTAATCCAGCATTAAGATGCTTTTAAAGTCTAAAATATGAGTCTATAATCCATAATAACGCTTCCTCCAGTGAAAAAGTGCATCTGCTGTTGTCTCTCACATCACATATGTGTTTAGAGCTGTTTAAACGCTGCTTGATCTGTGCAGATTTCTCTCCTGATTCACACCAGAACACTTTTGATGGACTGGAGTGCTGTGGATTACTTGTGGATTATTGTGATGTTTTTATCAGCTGTTTGGACTCTCATTCTGACGGCACCCATTCACTGCAGAGCATCCATTGCTGAGACACTGATGCAGTGCTGCATTTCTCCAAACCTGATGAAGAAACAAACTCATAACCCTAACCCTAAACTCATTCTGACGGCACCCATTCACTGACACTTGTTACCATTCAAAAGAATCCCACTGACTTCAGGCTGATGGAACTGAAAGTGCTAAAATGCTTGTGTTTGGGTTTTGGCCTACTAATACGTCATGCCTTTACACACACGACATGTGCTGTTTAAAAACATCAACTTTAACCTCTGATATAGAATGTTTATATTCTGTGAACGATTTAAAAGTCGTGCAGTTATACAAGCGCTCTGATTGGTCCAGCAGGTGATGACATCACACAGGCTCTGGTGGTCTCTGAGGCCGTTCACTTACCAGCGTCAAAACCAAAGACAGACACGGATGACCCCAAAATGAAAGGTTTGTAAAAGCAAGTGTTCGAGGCGAGACACTGCAGGTGAATAGGATTTTTAAAAAAACGAATAGTTATCTCCTTACTTACCCAGGTGATTGAATTGCAAACATTCTTTTTTTTGTATTACTAGTTTTCTAAAATGTTAGGTTTAAATATGCACATAATGCATTATTTAATGAAATATGCGCTAATTTGCATACATTTCTAGTACAAAAATCTCAACACTGGATGAAGTCAGTTTCAAAATTCTTGTTTAATTTTTTTTTACATATTAGAGTCAAATGTTTTTACAGAGGTCAGAGGGATCTCATTTTTGTCTCTCCATAATTCAGAAAATGCTTAGAACAGACAGAAAACAATACACTTTCACAATTTTGGGAGGAATAAAGTGTGGGAGGAGTAATCAGGCAAATTATATGTGAACAAAACCTTCAGGATACGGAACATATTTATACTAGAAAACAAGACAAAAATACTAAGTAAGAGAATCATTTTTTGCAGTGAAATAGATAGCGTGCTGTAAAAGAAACGCTGTCAGTGTCTTTCGGATGTTTTCTCTCCACTACAGTCTGAAAAAACACGATGAAAAACCAAAATCTCAAACTTGACAGGTGCATGAAAAACAGTGTTTTTGCCCGCAGTGTCTCCCTTTAAAGCAGCGGTGCTACACTCTTAAAACTAAAGGTGAAGAACCTTTTTTTTTTGTCTAAATGGTTCCATAAAGAACCTTTAACATCTGAAGAACCTTTCTGCTTCACAAAAGCTTCTTTGAAGGTTCTTCAGATTATAAAAAGGTAAGAAAGATATGGTTCTTTGTGGAACCAAAAATGTGAAGAAGCTTTAAAGGGGTCATCGGAGACCCTAAAGAATCATATCAACTTGTGGAAAATGGGCATCCTGTGACCCCTTTAAGCACGTTTATTTTTAAGAGTGTGTGGTGTCTGATGCACTGCGAGCTGAACGTCTCTGTCTTACAGAGAAGCCCGATGAAGATGAAGAGGATGAGGAGATGGACTCTGAGGAGGAGGAGGAGAGTGAAGAGGACCTGACAGAGAGCACCGTAGCACCCCACAGAAGTCCGCCGTATGGCCTGATCCCTCCTCCTCCCGTCTGGGTGCAGCGGAACCAGGGCCTGGGTGAGAACCAGCTTATGATCATCTCCTCTGTCATCAGCGTTAATAAAGAGAGTTCATTCTCTGTCTGTTGTTTGCAGTGCGGAGCTGGGTTGAGCTTATCAGAGAAAAGGTACGACTCGTTTGTTTTCACAACACTGGAGAAGTCACTCCTGCTCACCGAGGCTGCATTTATTTGATCACAAATACAGTAAAAATTGTGAAATAGTTTTGTAATTTAGAGCAGCTGTTTTCTGTGTGAATCTCTGTTAAACTGTAATGTATTCCTGTGATGCGCAGCTGTATTTTGAGCATCATTCCTCCAGTCTTCAGTGTCACATGATCTTCAGAAATCAGTATAATATGCTGCTCTGCTGCTCGAGAAACATTTCACAGTTCAGAAATAAATTACAGTTTAACAGATATTCACATAGAAAACAGCTGTTTTAAATTACAAAACTATTTCACAATTTTTACTGCATTTTTGATCAAATAAATGCAGTCCAGGTGAGCAGAAGAGACTCTTTCAGAAGCATTAAAGCTCTCCGCTGGTCTCTCGTAGGCTGGTTATGTGTCGGGGATGTTGGCTCCGGTCGGGATTGGAATAGCCGGAGCTCTTCTGCTGTTCGGTACTCTGTACAGCATCAGAGTGATCCATCGCAAGAGGAGGAACAGCTTCAAACACCAGAGGAGGAAGGTAACGTAAGCGTAACGTCAGAATCATGATCGTCAAACACTCCAGTTCTGACTCTTTTCTACCACGTGTGACCCTGGAGCACAAAGCCAGTCATAAGGGATTATGCTGAATAAATAAGCTTTCCATTGATGTATGGTTTGTTAGGATCGCACAATATTTGGCTGAGATACAACTATTTGAAAATCTGGAATCTGAGGGTGCAAAAAAATCTAAATATTGAGAAAATCATCTTTAAAGTTGTTCAAATGAAGTTCTTAGCAATGCATATTACTAATCAAACATTAAGTTTTGATATATTTACGGTAGGAAACTTACAAAATATCCATGAACATGATCTTTACTTAATATCCTAATGATTTTTGGCATAAAAGAGAAATGTATAATTGTGACCCATACAATGTATTGTTGGCTATTGCTACAAATATCCCCCAGCGACTCAACAAATTAAAAAAAAGAAAATACTTACAACATAATATAAACAGATTGTACCGTGTTCCCTTATAATAATCAAACTGGCCCCTGTACACTCTTGACCCTTTAACCAACCCTTAAACCAACCTATACCACCAAACCAGTCCCTAACCTACCCGTGTCACTCCTCAATAGCAGCAAAAGTGTTGTGCATTAACACAAGCTTTTCAAAAATCATTTGTAGATTTTCAATAAGTGCTTGATCATGTG